TGACGCATCCAGTCACATGCTGTACGCAGCCCACTGTACCCATTAGAGGGGACTATTCGGAGGGGACAGATTCGATCTGGTCCCATTGTGTACTTTCTATGCCAATGAACTGAATCAAAGGGTCTGATCATTAATTGCCCCACGACAAGTCATCATAAGCGATGAACAAGCCCTGGATTCCGTTGTAAGGGGAAATCAGCAAAGTATAAATACAGTTCAACAGTACTGATAGTCCCTATCGCCACTAAATATGTAAATACGTACAGTTGTCACGACAAGTGTTTGCACATAAGCACACATCGGCGAGTAAATAGCATTTCCCACAAGTACTTGGCAGTTATCTTATTGACAAACGCGTTTTCCTCGAGAGTTGTACTCGAAACGTCGTTAGTACTATATGCAAATCTGTGTCAATCGTGTCTCCCCCAAGTGGCCAGGGCTTACCTCCAAAGTTCTAGATCTAGTTTGGCCAAGTTGTCAAGTAGTCGATCACGATGGAACGCCTGATCTCAGCTGGGGGTGCGTTCCTCTCAAATGCGTCATTTCCGTCCGTATCTTATCCCAACATTGAGATTGCCTCAAGGCCCCTGCCTTTGGAAAAGAGATTTCACAGCTTTTGCACTCGGCATTCTAATCATATGGCGTAGAATTCGCTGGTCAGCTGACCGGCTGAGGCAACCGGTTTGGAAGAAAGATCGCCCCACCGCCTGTTGCCAATGGGGTATATACATATATATATATGGCGGTATAGACGTGGCTATATAATACACACGATCGAGCCCCCCAAATGTGTTGTTATCGCACACTGATTATATAAGCGCCTGAGCCCGTGCTGTGGAGACATTAATAGATTAATTTTCTGTATTTTTCTCGCCCTGGGTCTAGTCTTTATGAGTTTTCAAATGCTTCTAGCCGAAAAAAAACAAAACGAAAACAAGTCGCTTGATAAAGCCGGTTGCTGCCGGACTTCTGGCATTTCACATTTCTGCCTCTGCCGTTTGCTGTTTGTGTTCTCCACTCGGCTGTTTTTGTACTTTTTGTGTGTTTTATGGTAAACATAAGCGAAAAGAAATAGAGAGGGCGTCGTCGTCATCGCTGTCGTCAAGCGGTTTGGGTACAGTCAAGTCAGCACAAGCACCCATTCCCAGCTCGATTCTGGTTTGCAGTTTGGTTTCGATTCGATTTGCCGGCTCAACAGAAAGCTCGAGTTACCGAGTTCCGACTCGAAGATATCGGAAGATGGCCTTTTATGATGTTTATTGGGCTAAAAAACTGTTTGTTGCTTGATAAATCTTTAGTTTATAGTAATTTTTTCGATATTGTTTAAAGATATTTCATATTTATTATTCCATTTTCAAGAAACCAAATAGTTCTGTTTGTCTTGAAGGAATTAGATATTAAAAATCCCACCAAAACAACATATTTTTAGGTTGTTTACATGTTTACCTCTACAATATAAATTTCTTTCCTTTGCGAAACATGGAAAATCACTATAAACCCAGACAAGTTTGTACTAAAAATAAACCCCAGTCAGCTCAATGATTTGTAATTTGCAAATTCGTGGACTCATCGTATTTTTGTTTATTGTTTCCAGTTGCCGAGCCCCATCGAATATTCACACCGCAGTTGATAAAGCCAAGAACTCACTTCCACTGATATTGTCTTTATTTTCGGCTTAGCAACACAACATAAAATTTAATCGGAACAACTAGGCAAGAACTAAGCTAATTTGTATTTTATAGTCTTGTTTTTCGGGGGCTCGTCCCACGAACGGGGAAATCATTAATTCTTTGAACTCAACCCGTTGGGCCTTCAAATGGAACTTGTTCCTCACCATAAGGCACCATATATCGATCCATAAACCAGGTACTCTTTGATCTTTCGGGCTTTTACAATGGGAACACGCTTATTAAATTCGAATTACACGTAACAAACTGAAACCGAATTGTCGGGGGTTATCTAATCTAAACTTCCTTAAAGATATCAACGAATTAAATGTGCCAAGCAAATAAAGATAAGAGCCAACAGGTTTTATTGTGGGTCTTGTTCTTGAAACTGTTGCGCCATAGGTAGAAGTGGAAAGGTTTCCCCACCTCTGCCAGATGCAGCTATTTTCTAGAGGGCTCACGTGCTCGAAAAAGCCAGCCAGAAAATGTTGAGTGTATCATTGATTCGAGGAAAACTTTTGCTTTCCGCGAGGAATTCGTGTAGTTTCCGTCTATTTCTGGCACTCGTCAGTTGGATGTAGGCCAAAAATGAAAGCTGCAGCAGCAGCAAGGTCGCCGCCCAGTTCTGTACACCTGTCGTATACGTAATGCACTTATGCAACCTCTCCGCCCTTTTTTCGCCCGGCAGGTATCCGCTTCTCGTTGGACGTGTCACGCGATGAGGTCAAAGCCCTGTCCGCCCTGATGACCTTCAAGTGCGCCTGCGTGGATGTGCCCTTCGGCGGCGCCAAGGCTGGCCTGAAGATCAACCCCAAGGAGTACTCCGAGCACGAGCTGGAGAAGATCACCCGCCGCTTCACCCTTGAGCTGGCCAAGAAGGGATTCATTGGACCCGGCGTCGATGTGCCAGCCCCCGACATGGGCACTGGCGAGCGCGAGATGTCCTGGATTGCCGACACCTATGCCAAGACCATCGGCCATCTGGACATCAACGCCCATGCCTGTGTCACCGGCAAGCCCATCAACCAGGGCGGTATCCACGGACGCGTCTCGGCCACCGGTCGCGGTGTGTTCCACGGCCTGGAGAACTTCATCAACGAGGCCAACTACATGAGCCAGATCGGTGAGTAGCGCTTTAGCCCATTTGGTAATTTTTATGGTCTCATAATCAATCTTCATACGCAGGCACCACTCCTGGCTGGGGCGGCAAGACCTTCATTGTCCAGGGCTTCGGTAACGTGGGCCTGCACACCACCCGCTACCTGACCCGCGCCGGCGCCACCTGCATCGGTGTCATCGAGCACGACGGAACCCTGTTCAACCCGGAGGGCATCGACCCCAAGCTGCTGGAGGATTACAAGAACGAGCACGGCACCATTGTGGGCTACCAGAACGCCAAGCCCTACGAGGGCGAGAACCTCATGTTCGAGAAGTGCGACATCTTCATTCCAGCTGCCGTCGAGAAGGTCATCACCAGCGAGAATGCCAACCGAATCCAAGCTAAGGTAAGGGAGCTTCCATGAGTTCGATCTGATAACCTTCAAAATGATGAGTAAATATCTGAACCTTGAACATTCTCAACCTTTTAGATCATTGCCGAGGCTGCCAACGGCCCCACCACCCCTGCTGCCGACAAGATCCTGATCGAACGCAACATCCTGGTCATCCCCGATCTGTATATCAATGCCGGTGGTGTCACCGTGTCCTTCTTCGAGTGGCTGAAGAACCTGAACCATGTCTCGTACGGTCGCCTGACCTTCAAGTATGAGCGCGAGTCCAACTACCACCTGCTCGGTAAGTTCTATATCCGTATTCTTTACCTTCTCTATCTATCTTTCCATCTATCTATCTATCTTTCTCGGCTCATTGATCTCATGCCATTTCATTAATCGGTTTATGGAATTAATTCTTATGCTATGATTTAGAAAATACGAAACCCGAGACAAAGAATAGCGCTTGCTCTGCCCAGCATTTGCTCTTCCCAGATTGGTTAAGATTTTTATCTTGGTTCTCCTTCTTCCAAATCTCGATTATCTTTATCTTTACCTTTCGATCCTATCCACCGACACCAAACCAAAACTCTCTAGGATTTAATTTGAAGTATCATCTAAGTAATTCGTTGTTTATCTTCTTCTTTTTTCCGTTTCTCTATCGCCAACTGTAGCCTCAGTCCAACAGTCAATTGAAAGAATCATTAACGACGGTACATTTTATTATTAATAATTCTTTTTGTTTCCCTTCCACCCATTTATCGATCTCAAAAACAAACCAAAACCGAATGAATAATCTTACACATTGATAAATCGCATTCGTAAAAAAGAAAACCCCCTCAGCCCATTTATAACCCTGAAACATTATTGTAGTTAGTCCCGAGCTTTGAATCAATTTTTGTCTGTTATGTTTTGTACTCGTGTATATTTGGTTTAATCTCTTTATGCATTACCATCTCAATATCATCAGAACCAGAGCAACTAATACTTGGAACCCAGAAATCCGATGCTTTAAACCGATCTATCTAACCCCAATCTCTGTAGTTCTTTGGTGGCATTAATCCTTGTGATATATCCGTATCTGTTAGCCTAGGAGCATGTGTGGCACTCTCGACTAATTGCTTTGTTCGTTCTTGTATCCCCCACTCCGCTCTGTCTTCCTGCAGAATCCGTGCAAGAGTCCCTGGAGCGTCGCTTCGGCCGCGTGGGCGGTCGCATCCCCGTGACCCCCTCCGAGTCGTTCCAGAAGCGCATCTCCGGCGCCTCCGAGAAGGATATCGTCCACTCCGGCCTGGACTACACCATGGAGCGTTCCGCGCGCGCCATCATGAAGACGGCCATGAAGTACAACCTGGGACTGGACCTCAGAACCGCTGCCTACGTCAACTCCATCGAGAAGATCTTCACCACATACCGTGATGCCGGCCTGGCCTTCTAAGCCGAGTGTGCTGATTAGCCCCCAGACTCTTAACTAGTTAATTAAGCAATCGAAGAACTCAAGAGCATAACTATTGCTACTGCTCCATGCACCGCCGTCTTATGTAGAGGAATATGTCACAAAACCGATATGCAAGAAGCGTAATTCTACGGCAATTGGAGCTGGCCGCTGGGATTACTCTTTTAACAAAACCCACTTTCGCCCGTGTTTCGTATTAAGTTAAACAAGTTGCGAGCTTATTATTGTTGATTTTCTCTAATTTGTAAGTTCATCGAGCGTCTAAAAGTGAAGCAATTGCATTTTCAATTATGTATCGCAACGTCTCGTACCGTCAAGTCACAGTTACGTTTATCGTACGATCGCTCCGTTGCCGTAACATTTAAAATAATCAAATATACAGAAAACTAAACTCTAAACAAGTGCAGCTTTAATTGTCAATCGGGAGCTGGGTCTCATTGATATACGCAATAAACTACGATATACATGGATTGATCGATTGGAATGTATCAAAAATATATAATATATAATACTATAAGTACACTTTAGTGGCAAAAGACCGAGGGATACAGCCCAGCGTACATGGGTGTCCGTATCGTATACAAAAGTGGAAGAGGAGTAATCGTTAAAAACTAATCTTTCTGCTTACTAGCTACTCCGGTCTGAGTGCGTGTCAACTTGGTGCAACCTCACGAGAGGGAGGTGTGGTGGCGTATCAGAGAACTAGAGACTTGGGAAACAACTCCTGCTTCACATAGTCGTTTATCATCTCCATGAGCAGCTCCCGCGTGAGCTTCGGATGCTGCAGCACGTAGCCAAAGTCTTTCAGCTTCGTGTTGTCCAAGTAGAGATGCTTGTGGTGGAGCTGCTCCTCGTCGAGGTAGGGTGTCAGCGGGGTGTTGTCAATGCCATTGCGTTGGCAAATCTCGGCCCAGGGAGCCATATGCTTGTCGTTGATCTCGCCAACAGTGTCCGTGGGATAAAGCTGGGACAAAAGAACGAATTGAATAATTAGTGGGCTTTCAGTTGGTTACCCTCTGCAATGCGGAGTAAGGTTATGATGTAATTAAATCAGTGTTTGGAACACACACAGTGGGAAAGACCCGAAACTGGCTGCTAGCATGCAAAAACGCTAAGCGAAGACGCATGCCGAAGCCATAAGATGACTAGTATATGTAATGTGCTTTTATTTTGTATTATAAAAGCTCAATATCTTAAGAATATTGTGTCAAAGTTTTACATCGATAACAGCAAAATTGACGAAGTTATGCAGAGTTGAACGAAGGTCTTTTGCTGTTTTATTATCAAAAATCACATTTTGAAAATCGGTGTACACGATAACTCAAAATCTACTGAACAAAATGTTTTTAAATTTGGCACATAACTTCTTTCGCTAATTTTGCAGGTATTTACGTGAGGCTTTTTTAAATTATAATTTTATTATATTTTTTATTTAACAAAGTAACTTAAGTTTTTAGTCGAAATTCGGGATTTTTACTTTAAATTTAAATAAAAAAAAACGGAAAAATGTAAAAAATAAAATCGCCACGTAAGTACCTCGGGACAATTATCCTTCTCAGATATCGGATGATTCTGTGGGCAAACCAACTTTTTTTAAGTCTGCTCGGGAGATTCCCTATTACCCCTACACGTCTAAATGTTTTTCAATACAAAATGTAACACAAAATTGTTTAAACAATGTGTTATTGTATAATATTAAATTCATTAAGCCGTTTCGTCACAATACATTTCTGAAAAGTGGCTAATTTTGCACCGAATTAATCATGCCCCTCGCTTAAACAGAATTCTAATCTTCAAGTTCAAGCCCAGTTTACGGCAAATATTTTGGGAATGTTTGCAAGAATTAAATGAGTAAGCTACTTAAGACTTTCTATCTTTAACAAGGAATTTCTGGAACTGGTTAATCTTCTTTCAATCCAATAAACAAAGTGAAATTCCAGCTATTTATAACCAGTCCAGTCGTATATATTGTTGCCCGGTGTTATTATTATTAGTTACCTTAGTCAAATTCGACATGACAATGCCAAAATAGTCCACATTGATGTCGAAAATATCCACCAACAGGTTGCTAATACTGCCCTGCGTAGAAGCTGAATCATCGGCTATATTGTACACCTGCCCGGCGGTCTTGGGGCTCTGCGCCAATTGCCAAATGGCGGCACACACATCCGATACGTGCACCGTATTCAGACGCATGGCATCGTTCCACAGCAGCTTCATTGTCTCGTTGAGGTATTTGTAAATGGCAGCGATTATAATGCGCGGCACTGTGAACGAAACGGAACGGGATGGGTGGTGGTTGGGTGGTCATTAGCTCGGGTTTTGCCCGCCTGACAATTACATCAATTATCGGCTATCGACAACGAACAACAACTCACTCAAGTAGCGCTTATCGCCAATGCCATAGACCACGGGCAAGCGGACAACCGTATAGCTGAGATCTTCCATGTTCGCCAGCTCCTTCTCCACCTTCAGCTTCTGCCGGGCCACGCCCGTCCAGGGCTCCAGCTTGCAGTCCTCCTTCAGCGGCGTCTTCTCACTGCTATTCACACAACCGGAGCTGAGCTCCACGTAGCGCCGCACACGCTGAGCGGCTGCCTCGTTTGCACAGTTCACGCTGAGCTTAAGGATGCCCTCCTTGTAGACAGCATCGTCCTGGTTGGCACGCGTCTCGGCCGCGCAGTTGATGACGATGTCCCAGGCCCTGCCTGTCGTGGGGTGTGGTGCAAAGGCCGCCTTGCAAGAGGCTGCAGCAACACAAAGAGGAGAGTTCTAGAACCTGTTTGGAGGTGCAACGTTACTAGGGTGCCTCGCTTCGTGAGGATGGGTGATCTTTGTACTCTCTGTCTGCGAAGACAGTTTATTCTTTTTTAAAACATTACTATATTTTTTAAATATATAAAATGTTTAATCACTTGTTAGGATATTATGTTACTTCTTCTTTTCTTTTACGGATATGATTTCACCACAACTTTTCCACATCCTTCCCGGAGCGAGTCACCCTAACGCAGCGATTCTACCTACCGGCATTTATTAGGTTGGCGCTGCAGAACTCCACTCGGTCGCTGTCGAAGATCCGCGCCTGCTCCTCGTTCAGCCAGGCCATCTGGGGAGGGGTCTTATCGGCAATCCGTATTTCCTGCGCCAGTTCATTCTCCAGCAGATAAGTGGCCAAGTTGCGTCCGATAAAGCCGCAGCCTGCGGGGCACAAGAGCGATGCACTGATAAACGGATGTCAGGGGGGTGGGGCGGCGCCGCTATCGGAGGCTGTGCAGCCGACTGACTTACCACCCAAAATCAAAACAGTCGGCTTCTCAGACATGCTGCAGTCGCGACAAATTCAACAGGAATGAGTCAAGTCAGGGCGAATTATTTGTTTGCGGGTGGAACGGTTTTTTGTTGTTTGGCTGTTTTTATGGTATGACTGTGGTGGGACGCAGCAAAAATACCCCTTAAAGCGGATAAAAATAACTGGTCACACTTGGGCGGTCCGATTTTAAATTTTTTTTTAGCAAAATTCGTAAATTTCACGAGTACATCGATAGCAGTCCTGCACACATCGATACATTGCAATTCTTCGTGGTATCGATAGGATTTCCTGTGACTAACAGTGATGTTACTCTCTCTAGGCAAAATTTACGCTCAATTCTGTGAACTTACATTCTACATGAGAATTCGACCCCAAACTAATGTTAACTAACAAATTTGACACTGTTATTCTGTAAGCGTGTAAGATTAGTTTTGACATTTTAACACGAACGTTTCCTCTTGCTGTCTATTAATTAAATAAATACTATTTATAAATGGAAACTAAAAAATATAAATAAAAATTAAGAATTTAAAGAAAATTAGTCTATTTTTAAAGTGTATTATTGTTTACATTTGTGTGTGTTTTTTTAATATTTTTAAATTTAAATTTAAAATTTAATTTAATTTAAAATTAGTTTCTAAAAAGTAGCTTTTTTTTTAGTTTTTTTTTTCTTTGAATTGGGCTTTTTTTTAGCTGTTAATTTTAGATAATCCAGATTTTTTGATCAGAAAAAAATACTGCTTACTAACTGTCCATTTTGACCAAGTCCGCCATTGAATTCGGGACTTTTTTTGAAGTTCTCAAAAAAGGTAAGGAAAACTTGAATCTTGAATTATCAGAGTCATCAGTGAATAGAATCTTAAATAATACAGACAACAAGATGCCGGGAGTCACAGTCAAGGACTTGGACCAGCACGTTGTGACCAAAGCTTTGGCATCTTTCCTAAAAAAATCGGGAAAAGTTGTGGTGCCCGTTCAGGCCGAGTTCATCAAGACGGGCAAGTTCAAGGAGACCGCTCCCACTGAGGCCGATTGGTTCTTCACACGCTGCGCCTCCATCATGCGCCACCTTTACATACGCAGCCCATCTGGAGTGGCTGCCTTTACCAAGGTCTACGGCGGGCGCAAGCGCAACGGGACACATCCGTCGCACTACTGCCGCTCCTCGGATGGTTGCATCCGCAAGGTACTGCTAAGTGTGTTCATAACCAGGGTAGAATTAATTCAGACTCATCTCCTCCACAGGCTCTCCAAGCTTTGGAGGCAGCTCGCATGGTGGAGAAGCATCCTGACGGGGGACGCAAGCTTACCTCGAAGGGCCAACGCGACATGGACCGCATTGCCAACCAGATTGTGGTCAAGCAGCGCAACGCCAACAAGGAGGCCTTAACTTAAATGGCGCCGAAAAGAAGTTTAGTACTTTTCAAAAGGCTGAAAAAAGATGAGTATAAAACATACGCTGGATTGATAGACACACTTTTCAAACACACTAAATACGATGTGTTTTTTGAATGATAAAACTCGCATAACTGGGATTACTAAGCTCAAAAAACGACGAGCTTATGAACTTGCAAGTGGAAGACAAAGAAAAAAACGAATATAAATAGTTTTAAGACTCACTTATGGGAAATGTACTTAATTCGATACATTTTTCACAGCAGCATGCATAGGATACGATACGTGGAACACGTTAAAATTACGATACGATACTGAAACTTACGATAATTATACGATACGATATATGCTCTCTAAAACATGACAACAATACGATACGATACGAATCATTTGCCTGAATAATATCAAAACTACACTAAAATGCTGAAAAAACTATGAACAGAAAAAGCATAAGACACAATGCGTTATACATCCTTATATTGTATAATGAATACAATACGATATACGCTCTCTAAAACATAATAATACGATACGAATCTTTTGCCTGAATAATATTCAAACCACCACAAAGACCTAAAATACACTTTAATATAATCATTATATGACAAACACAAATCCAAACGAGGGAATACGTTTTATATCCTTATATTGTATGTTAAATGAAATAAAAACATTAAATACGCAGCATTAAAATTCATTTCACACTTTATTCTTGGAAACCGCACAAAGTTGGTATATAGAAAAGGTCTTATATAACTACAAATGCTAGCTAGTCCACAAGTCACCGGATTTTTGGTTGGGCGGAGTCCTAAATCCACGCACTATGACCTCAGATTGCCACCAGCCGCTGGACTCCTTGGATGATGGCTCTGCATAAACGCTAGTCGTGCTGCAGTCGTCTTCAGATGTGTCCAGTTTGAGCAGGCCAAGATCCTCGTAAATTTCCATCTGTTGGCAGCATCGCAAGTCGGTTAATGGGTGCTCACTGCTGTGTAAGAGGTGCAAGTGTATATTCTTGCAGCTGCGCGGAAGGCGACTCAGAACAGCTTTGGGTATAAGATTAGTCGCATCCTGCGGGGTTTCCGAGGGGGTGAACAGCTCCAGTTCCAGAAACACATTGGTGGCATTCAGTTCCGTGGAGAAGAGCGTGTACAGATCCTCGCAGGTTAGAAGGCGGAGCAGCGCCTGGTTGATACGACCTTCAGGCAAGGCATGGTGCTCGCAGTAGTGAGACCTTGATATGGACTCGTGGGGGATGTGCAGGGTGTACGCCTCCGAGGGCATGAAGGTATTGGTGCCGAACAGAAACCGTAGGCTTTTCACGGCGGACGTCCTGAAGGCTTGTCTTATGAGCTGCAGGTAAGGGCATGTGTCAGGTAAGCAAATCTCGTATCTCGACGTCTTGTACGCACCTCTCGCATGTCGCTGATGGACTCCTTGGTGGCCTTCGCCTTGGACCGCTGCTGGTTGAGCTGATAGTTGGCAAACGACCCCTGATCCGGCGCTTGCCCCAATTCCTCCGCATCGGACCACTTCTCCACATAATACTTGTACGTTTTGTAGACGAAGGGAATCTGGCGTCGCTGATATAGCAGGAAGTCCAGGATGCCGTTCACAAACTCCGCTGCAGTGCCGGTAGTCAAAACGTCGCCGGTGTCGAGTTTGATATCGATGTTCTTGGCATTTTGTTCCATTGATTAGCTTTAATAGCAGCAATTTAAATATTTTCAGTAATTCGCGGCAGAAACCAAACAATAAACAAACAAATCCGACGTTGCCAGACTGTTTTCGCTGTTATCGATAAGCAGTCAGAGTGCTGCCAGAGCGTCCGATTCACAGATACGGTAAGGTAGCCGCAGCCAACTTCGCTTCGCTTATGACTAGTAGAAATTCTGTTTTTGTGTTGCCGACAAAAAAAGTCAGAAAGATTGTTAAAGGTTGTGGAAACTAGTTGCAGCACAGAAGCAAAATGGTAAGGAGAAACTGGGTGGGACGCAACTAACTGCTAACCGCTAATCCTCGCCTTGCAGGGACAAAACCAATCGGCCCAAGGGGGCGCTGGCGACAAGAAGGATGACAAGGACAAAAAGAAGAAGTACGAGCCCCCGATCCCGACCCGCGTCGGCAAGAAGAAGCGTCGCGCAAAGGGTCCAGATGCGGCCATGAAGCTGCCCCAGGTGACGCCCCACACCCGCTGCCGATTGAAGCTGCTGAAGCTGGAGCGGATCAAGGACTACCTCATGATGGAGGACGAGTTCATCCGCAACCAGGAGCGCCTGAAGCCCCAGGACGAGAAGAACGAGGAGGAGCGCTCCAAGGTGGACGACCTGCGCGGCACACCCATGTCTGTGGGCAATCTGGAGGAGATCATCGACGACAACCACGCCATCGTGTCGACGTCTGTGGGCTCCGAGCACTACGTGAGCATTCTGTCCTTCGTGGACAAGGACCAGCTGGAGCCGGGCTGCTCCGTGCTGCTCAACCACAAGGTGCACGCTGTGGTGGGAGTGCTCAGCGACGACACTGACCCCATGGTCACGGTGATGAAGCTGGAGAAGGCGCCGCAAGAGACGTACGCAGACATCGGTGGACTTGACACTCAGATCCAGGAGATCAAGGAGTCCGTCGAGCTGCCGTTGACACATCCCGAATACTACGAGGAGATGGGCATCAAGCCGCCCAAGGGTGTCATTCTCTACGGTCCCCCGGGCACAGGAAAGACCCTGCTGGCTAAGGCGGTGGCCAACCAAACCTCGGCGACGTTCCTGCGTGTGGTGGGCTCTGAGCTGATCCAGAAGTACCTGGGTGACGGGCCCAAGTTGGTGCGAGAGCTCTTCCGCGTGGCCGAGGAGCACGCACCCTCCATTGTGTTCATCGACGAAATCGACGCTGTGGGTACAAAGCGCTACGATTCGAACTCTGGTGGCGAGCGTGAGATCCAGCGTACTATGCTGGAGCTGCTCAACCAACTGGATGGCTTCGATTCGCGCGGAGACGTCAAGGTGATCATGGCCACCAACCGTATTGAGACCCTGGATCCGGCGCTAATTCGTCCCGGTCGTATTGATCGCAAGATTGAGTTCCCGCTGCCCGACGAGAAGACCAAGCGCCGCATTTTTACCATCCACACCTCGCGCATGACCCTGGCCGAGGACGTGAACCTCAGCGAACTGATCATGGCCAAGGATGATCTCTCCGGCGCCGATATCAAGGCTATTTGCACGGAGGCAGGCCTCATGGCGCTGCGTGAGCGCCGCATGAAGGTGACCAACGAGGACTTTAAGAAGTCGAAGGAGAGCGTCCTCTACCGGAAGAAGGAGGGCACGCCCGAGGGCCTGTATTTATAAGTCGCAAAAGGATCTATATTTTCAGTTAATTTTGATAATTCCCAAAAAAATCCATTAAACCACATTAACACTAACTAGAGGAGCCCGATGCGAATAAATTTGTAGTTGCTGGGAGAGCCTGTGCACATTGTCCTATCAGGTCGTCCAAGTAGGTCCTTTGCTTCTCCCTCACAACGCTCAGAGGTGCTCCTTGGTGTTCTAAATACTTGAAGTGCTCCTTGGCTGCGGGATCTGCGAGCTTAAGGATCTGATAGGCCTCTCGTTCCGCATGTTCTTGAAGGGTTTCATAGAAGGCGCTAAGTTTGGCCAGTTTCAAGGCCGTTTTAAGACCATCCTCGTAGCCCTGATCGAAGCTGTCCTGAAACACCTTTTCCCGACCATCGGCTATGCCATCTGCGTAGCTTATCTGGAAGATAGGGTGCATTTTAATTCGGATAATGGCCAGGAGTCCAGCTGATTTCCCGAGACAGTTGGCAGCATCGAGAAGCATATTTGAATAATACCTTGGCTACTTTATCCTGGACACGCTGATAATTGGTAGAGGAAACCACTTTGAAGTCTGTTTCCTCATCAGAGCTTTCAGGCGCCGACATTTTGTTGATGAAGTGTGTTAAAGTATTAACAAATCCAAAACTATAGAGCTGAACAGTGTGGCCGTGTACGTAATGCCAAAATAACCTTTTTTATACAGTAAAAGCTAAGAAAACGTTACCTTTTTTAAAAAACCTTGCCTAACGGTTTCCACGAATCGAAAAAAAAGGGATAAGGAAAATTAAAGTTGCTCGATTAGCACGTTAGGTCCAAGAGATTTTAGTTATACAGCTTCTAGAATGGTAGTCGGCACCTTCCCCATAGTAAAATTAGGATTATTAGGTGTTAGGCACATTGCCAAACCCATTAGCAATCTGATAAAACGTAGGGCTACAAGGAATCCGGCCTTCAAAGCTCTGGTTGTCGCCCCTCCAGCCCAATGTGAGTACTTTGTGGGACAATTGCCACGGTCTGATAGCCTGACATTAATTTCCAGTATACAACAATATCTCTGTGCGCTCAAGGATGTGGATGCTGGGGATGAGGCAGCCGCGTTTTGTTCCACCTCTGAACCACGCGATGTCCATTGAAATGGGCGGAGACCTGCTGGGCGAGATGTGTATATTCCTCATAGGTTGTCTTGCTTTGGTGGCGGAGTTTTCCAGGTTTATAATTATTTATTTCTTTATATAATAAACTAAATAAATGATCTCCATTTCTTAGGCAGAACAGAAAAGAGAAATCTAAGCAGGAAGAAAACAGACTTGTTCGAGAGCAATTAGATACGAAAATTAAAAACCTTTCCGAGAAGGTAGCCTCTCAGAGCCAGGAAATTAGGCGGCTAAAGATGTTGGTAGGAAGCCAGGATAGATCATATGACTGGCGCTGTTCATAACTGAAACCAAGTCGTCTACGAAACTTCAGCTGCCTTGAGTTTTTTCAAAATTTAAAGTTTCGGGACAATGGTGATAGGAAGCTTTCCATTGGGGAAAATCTTTGTACATGGATTGAAGAGGGTCAGCAAGCCCATCGGCAATCTTCTAATGTGGGCCGGCAAACACAATCCCCACGTCCGGCGCTACATCATCATCCCGCCGGCGCAGCTCTACAACAAATTTGAGGTTCGCTGGAAGATGCAGATGCTGCGACTGAAGCAACCAAAGAGGGTTCCGCCTCTCCCTTCCGCGATAGCAACCCAACTTGGCACTGATATGCTCAGCGAAGTCATTGTGTTTATCATTGGTGGGGGATTGATCGTCCATGAGTTCTCCCGGTTGGACGTAACCCAGTTCATTTGTACTCGCCCGGTTTCATCTTAGTTCTTTTGTTTTAGGCAGCAGTTAAAGACGCGGAAGAAGCTCCAGGAGGAGATGGAGCAGAGGAGAGTTCTGTTTGAGCAACTGGACGGCATTAGTGCAGATCTCGAGCAACAGGATAAAGACATTTCCTATATTAGGGCGGTTTTGAATGGCAACAAAACTTAAAAAGTTATATGAAATTTTTGTTATCCCTTTTAGGTTACCACTCTTATAATTCAAAATATATTTTTCAGTCCTTGAGAATTTGAGATTTCATTTTGGGAGTTATATTTACCTATAGCTTTCCAATAAATATACAAATGTTCATATAAAAAAGGGAATCGAGAAATTTAAATATAACTGGTATCTTACACGCTTTAGTGCATTTTTTCAGAGCTTTGGTATAATCGAAAGCTCGTGCTACGGGCACACTGCATGCATATTTTGTAATAATTTTTGGTTAAAAAAAAAACAATGGTAATCGGCGTCTTCCCTGCGGCCAAGCTTGGTGTCTTGGCCATCAAGCAGATCAGCAAGCCGATAGCCAATGTGATCAAGTCCAACGCCAAGTCGAGTCCCTTCTTCAGGAAGTACATATGCATGCCGCCGGCGCAGTGTAAGTATTTAAGGAGATTAGTGCTTTAGCCGCGATTAAACCCCTCCATATCTTTGCAGTCTACAATTGGGTGGAGGTGAAGACCAAGATGTGGGCGCTGAACATGGGCGGACGTGTAAATGTGCCGCCGCTGAACGAGGCGATGGCCATTGAGCTGGGAGCCAATCTGCTGGGCGAGTTCATCATCTTCACCATCGGCGCCGGTCTGCTCATCTTTGAGTACTCACGGTTAGTATAGGGCGAACCTTGGAGTTGACTTCAGCTGTAATAATCCCTGGCTGCTTCTAGTCAAAGCATCAAGGAGAACAAGAAGAACGAACAGATGCAGGCGGAGAAGATGGAGCTTACCAACATGCTGACGGAGATGAACTTCCGTTTGGAGCGACAGGATGCCCAGATTCGCGAGATGACGCGTGTGATGGCTGACCTAGGTAGCTTAGCAACTAACCTTTTAAGTTGTCGGAGATTCCTAAAGCTTCCCTAATCCTCAGATTCGCGAAACATCTTCCGGTGGCACAAGGAACCTATACTGGAGTATGTGCCCTTCGATCCCAACACGCCGGATCAGAGCGCGGGTGCCAGAAACCCAAAGACCTATGAAGGCTTTTACGACCCACTCGGTGGCATGGCCTTCCGTGCCCTGAACTTCCTGGAGACGCAGATCTTCGTGGACGGCCGCAATCGCAAGGCCAAGGAGGCATTAAAGCACCTGGACGAGGTGGCCGTGGAACTGGAGCAGTCGCTCGGCGAGGCAGCCACCGCTGCGATCTCACTGCCAGTGAAAGCCGAAGCATGACCCAACCGAAGGCTGGAGCAGGATGTGGCCCTGCTTATGTTCGCAATGGCCATGGAGGAACAGTGAGTGCTTCTCTCTTCCGCGGGAGAGAGCGGCTTGTACACATTCACCTTGCAGACCATTTCATCAGTGCTAGTTATGATCAAATCGCGTGTTATTCATTACGTACTTCATAAGTTAAACAGTCAATAGGTGTATTTAACTATTGTACATTTGTAGTTGTATTTATAAATTTTTATTGTTACCGCAGACAACAACTAAAGAAAGAGATGCAAAACATGTTACAAGATGAAGTGTGTGTGTGTGTGTGATGGGGGGTGACGTAGGAATCTACTCCTGGTAGATGAGATCCTGCAGCTGCCTCACCTCCTCGCCGGGCGGCAGCAGATCCCCCAGGTAGTCGCCGAAGGAGTTGCAAATGTTGTACAAACTACGGCGCACAGCGCAATGAAGGACGTTGAATGCAGTGCTGGGCGCCCGCAGGCTTCCTATCACGCTGCTCAGCTTCTGCAGCTCGCCTTGAAGCTTGTTCAAGGCCTTGATGATGGCCGGCAGATCGTTCTGGACCACCCCATAGCGATCCTCCTTAAGCGAGGCTACGCAAACCTGCGCCAAAGCCTGCGATATGTACACCACCGGCAGCGAATTGGTCAGCAGGTAGGCTGTCTTGGCTCCTTCCTGCTCATTGAAGAAGTAAACGATGCCGGGGACTCGCTTCAACAGACGCTGCAACACTCCCTCAATCTGTGTGGACACACGCTCACACCAGTTGGGCACATGGCGGATGCCGTTGACCGGCCGTTCAACTGCTGCTTCCTGGGCTGGCGACACAATTGGCCGAATGCCGTGCATCTGGTTGTACTGCCGCAGGAGCAACTTCTCGGCCATCAAGCTAGCATTGGTGGACTCGATGGTTTTGGGTGGTACGGGCAAGCTCTGGGCGCCCTTAAGCACGCTGATCTTTTGCATAGACTCTGTTAGTTCCTCTGTGAAGCTGCCCAGGATGCTCAGGCACTGATCGCAGAGCGCTCGCCAGTTCGCCGGCCGGTTGCCCGGCTCTGTGAGCTGGTAAATCTCGGCCCGCTGTGTGGAATCCTTACGCCAGGCCAACTTGTAGAAGTAGTGAGCAGCCAGGCATTGTACTACGTAAACGTTAAAAACCCCAAGTCCCGCCACCACGGTCACCTCCTGTTCGTGGACAAAGGGCGCTCGCTGCTTGGCCACTACCAGGGGAATGTCCTCCGACAGCAGCATGCCGTAGAAGCAGTGCATTAGGTGCATATTGCTCAGAATCTGGGCAGTTAGCAACCAGCCGTAGAAGAGGAGACGGACATTGGTGGCCACACCGAAAAAACCCTCCAGTCGCTCGTCCAGGTCCACCGACAGGAAGTGGCTCAGTTTGCGGCACACTAGGGGTCCTAACAGCCAAAATGCCAAGGTATAGCTAATCGTGGGCAACAGCGATCTGAACAGGGATCGAGACAGGCTGGCGTACAGGAGTTCGCGGAGCCTCTCGCCGCGGGACTGCTCCACGATGGGGAACTCAATGGAGACCTCGTGGCGCATGTGGACGGAGGCGAAGTAGCAGATTCCGGCGGTAATGCCCATGCCCAGCAGGTACACATGGTAAGCGCTCACGCAGTCTTGGCCGTAGCACTTGTACCGAAGATGCCTGCAGGTTTAAAGGAAATTTCCTGGTAAGTTTTCTCGTTTTTCCAAGCGTCCAATTAAACTCACTGATAGTCCGTGTGCAGATATCCCGTGTAGAGCCACGCGGTTAGGAATCCAACCAAGATATGAGCGGCCAAGAAAAGCAGCTTGCGCGGTCCGTGGTTCAGGAGCCAGCGGTAGCGCGTGGGGCAGTACGGACGCTCCCAGAGGTGCTGCTGACAGAGAGAGACCCCGTAGAGAACGACGGCGATCACCAGCGGGATGCTGGCGAACCAGGTGTACCAGCTGGCCACCAGGCCCAGCGTTCCGGTCACCCAGGCGAGCGGATGCAGCAGCGTGAAGTTCACCGACAGCAGGAAGACAGTCAGCAGGAGGAACTGAATGGCCACGCACAGGAGTGTGGCGCGCATACCGCGACCAAGCAGGAGCAGCTTGCAGGCGTTGCTGGAGGAGCTGGCGGACATCTTTGGGCGACTATTTCACCGGTCTTAAGCGTATTTCTTTTTAAATTTCGCGATTTATTGCAATATTTGCCAATTGCCGGCTACGCGCGCGTTTTGTTGCACATGCACAGTGTGACCGTATGTGGTAGGCAAAAATACTCTCCCTTGGAAGAGTGTCCCTAACGGCTGGTTTAAATCAGAACCCGTTACAAAATATTTCTACAAAACCATGATTTAAACGTCCAGTTAAAGCTTAAGTGGTGAGCAGTCCTATAATTCACTGTGTATCTGAGAATCTTAGAGCTAACATGTTCGAAATATTCCGGACTCCCTATGTCGACTCCAAGCAGCTGCCGTTGGCCACCGGACCCGTCCCCATTTTGATCATTATCACGGGCTACTTGCTAGTGATCTTCAAGGGCGGCAGGAAGTTCATGAAGCACCGGGAAGCGTATAAGCTAAATGGTGTTCTGAAGTGCTACAATATGATTCAGATACTCTACAATATAGCGATGCTCTTGCCAGTAAGTTTGGAGCCACATTTTACCGCAAAGTTTACTGATCACATTTTGTTCTAGGGATTCTATTTCCTGTTCGTGTTCCGGCCATACAATTTCAAGTGTATGAAAGTTTTGCCGCAGGATCACCCCCTGAAGAACTGGGAACGCACCATTGCTTACGCTTACTACATCAACAAGATCGTGGACCTGCTGGACACCTTTTTCATTGTGCTCCGCAAGAAGTATCGTCAGATAACCTATCTGCATGTGTTCCACCACGTCCTGATGCCGTCTGCAGGATACTTAATCATTCGTTTCCATGGCTATGGAGGACACTTGTTTTTGCTTTGTTTCTTAAACGTCATCGTGCACGTGGTCATGTACTGCTACTATTACTCGGCCATCGCGGGCAGTGCTGTGCCCTGGAAGCGGTATCTCACACTGCTCCAGATGTTGCAGTTCATCCTCATGTTCGCCCATTGCGCCTATACTGCCGCCCAGCCCGAGTGCCAGACATCACAGGGAATGACCTTTTTGTACAGCTGCTCCTCCGCGATCATGTTAATCATGTTTACCAACTTTTATGTCCAGTGTTATATGCGGAATTCTAAGCAAAAGGAGAATTGAGCCTGTGTTTGTACATTTTTCACTGATTTTGTTACATTAACTTTTATTGATTTAATTAAGATGTTATATTGGCATAATATCTAGAGAGCACTGTTTATTTGCTCTTTTTGCATTATCTTTGTTGGCAGCAAACTAGTTTTTGGAGAGCTGTATTATATTGTATTTCCAAAATTGCGTCCCTAAAACTGGTCTTATTATTCCTGAAACACATAAATAGCGAAAACCAATCGTTAGTTTGAAAAACCGTAATTAGCTTTAAAAGTTTTGCAAGAGTGACCTTACGCAAGCGTCTGAAATATGTCATTCAGCGTGACCGTTTGTTTGAGATTATTTTTTTAGGGGTAAAGCCGAGTGTATTCATCTGGCCACACTGAGCCTGCTATATTTATTTTTGAAACCGGCGAACGACGACGTGCGCGGACCGTCGATTTCTGAAGCCGGCAACACACCTTTCGAACGACGCGTAACGGTGGCGGCCGGGCCATAAAATCGCACTAATCACCTGGCAATATTCCGAGTGCGGCTGCTAATTGCGCGATGTACGAGGCTGGGCAGTAGCCGAAAAGGAGCCCAATACAATAAACCAGTTGAAATTAAACTAGTTTGTGTGTTTGCGTTCGCGCGTGAGAACCGGGCAAAGGAATTTATGCCGAAATCGGGAGACAATAGCTAGTGGAGGCTGCGACCGCGGAGGATTCAAGTCCAGAAGTTGTCCGACCAGTTTTTGGTTCGGCCCGACGACTCGGCGTCTGTGTGTGCGCGTGTGTGTTTAGCTTGGATTATCACTATTTTTTTTGGTGCCGGCTAGCGGTAGCGAAGCTGAGCGAATGAGGTGCAGCTAGTAATCGCCCGACCCAGAGAGATGCCCTTCGTCCAGCGCGTGGTACAGCCCGTCAATGTGGCCCAGGCCACGGCGGCCAGCTTGGGCCATGCCGCCGGCCGCTTCCACTGCACGCCGGGCAAGTGCCGGAACAACAATTGCATAAACAAGCAGTCGCCGGACGGAGATGCAGATGGCTCGCCCACTTCGCTCACCCGGGTCCTGGTGCACCACAGCCACAACGGGGAGGATGAGCAGCTGCAGCAGCAGCCCCTGCCTCCAGCTCCGGCACCCATGAAGAAGCTGAAGCAGCACGTCGAGTTCCTGTCCACATCGCCCACGCGCCACCAATCGCAGTCCCTGCCCAATTCGCGGCATCCCAGCCAGCAGCGGCCTGCACTGGCCCGGATCGCCAGTGCCCCGCAATCGCCCACCGCCGGCTCCTCCAAGGTGGTGTCCGGCCACGAGTTCGACTCGATCAGCAACATTACGCTGAGCAACGCCCTGCGGCAGCTGGCCAGCCTGGTGCTCATCGCCAGCGACATCTTCGACGACCTGCAGCGGGACCTGCAGGCGGTGGGCGAGCGGGCGGGCCGCGTGCAGCGCAAGATTGCGGCGGTGGAGCGACGCGTCTGTGCCTACGACCCGAAAACGGTCACAGTTCGTAAGTACATCCATCACCATCCAACTCTTTACTAATCCGGGGAGTAATCCCATCCGTGACGAGTGGGAGCGGCGCATATTCCCCGCACGATTCGCGACAAAGTCAAGTGCGTTATCACGAGCGGCTTGTGCTTATCGCCTGTCATCTGCTGCTGCCGCTTTGTATGCGTGGCCCTGCTTCTGTGTGGGTGGCTGTCTGGGAGCAGGGACCAGGAAGCAGGGAGCGGGGAGCGGGGCCGACGAACGTGCTCCAATCTTATCTGCTTTCGCAGCTCGCGAGGGAATTCAATTTGCAAAGGCGCAAAAGGAAAGAGCAAAAAAAGTGTATAATTGAAAGATGTAAAGGCGGGGCCCCTTGTACCCTAACCTAAAGTGCATTGCAAAGGGTTTTATTAAAAAAGTTGATAAATGTGTCACAAAGTTAGGTTCTGCACATAAATTAAGTGTAAGAATTTATATTTTTCCATCATTGTTTTGTATATTCTAATTACATTTCATTGCTTTTCGTGGAATCTTTTTTTGCCATTAAAAATCTTTTCGTTTCATTGTCAATATTCTAATTCCAAACTCATGAATACTATAACTGATTCTTTTGTTGATTTATTTAGGTCACAACGCTTTCTTTATAAAGACTTATTTGTCTACAAAAAAATAATAATACAATTGAACAAAAAAGACTGATTAAAGCATATTTTTTTCAAACTTAAGATTTGCATATATATTTTATTATTTGGCACGAATTTCTTTTCTAAATCATTTTAATAGAGAAATATGGAATGAAATCCGAGTAATGTCATTTAGGAACACTGAGTTTTATTTTCAAAGAAATATAACTAAAAAGAGAAAAGTACTTAAAAAGTAGCAACATCGAAAAGAGATACCTCCTCTTATGATGCCTGTTATTTTTTTTTATGCAATGAAAAAGTGTCCCTTTCAGTCTACTACAAAGTCCCTGCCTTTTATCGTGACAAACTGGCAATTATAGTCGCCATACCCTTTATCCAGAGCATCTCTCAATTGAAAAGGAAACGAGGGAATAATACCAAGCGGAGCAGTGGAAATTAACACCTTGTTTACTTTGTCGCCTTCGCAGCAAGCTCCCCTCGCCCCTGTGCTATTATTCAGAGTTGGATTTGTGGGTGGAGCTGGCTGGGTCGTCGCCAGTGCCTGTCCATGCAATTAGCTTCTTGGCGGCGTCCAGCGGAGGCTTCTACAATTACCGAGGAGCCGAGAGACTGAGTGCAGCGCTTAGATAAGCGGTCTAAAGTCGTTTGGCTCATTGTTTTCGCGACCTTGTGTTAAATACCGGCCAACACGAATGGCCATTTGTGTGGCAACTGGTAAATGGCAACTGTGGCAGGCAGCAGCAACAGGTTATCTGCAGTGGCTGTCAAACTGCTTGATATGCGAAAAGCCGATTTTCCATTGGGTAATCTCTCGGCCGGCTATCCGTATTGCTTCTCTTGCAGTTTATCGCCTTTTTGCCTTTTCGCTGGCACCCCAAATTTTGTTATTCGCCTGAAAACGTTCAATAATTTTATGAAATCTCGACGCCAGTCTGGCGACGCTGACTGCAGCTTTTTCGCTTGGCTCTGGTCGTTGTTATTATTATTGTGCACTTAGCCGCTGCCTTTTTCAGCCAGAGAGGCAGAACGTGGCAATCCATTGTCAGCTGTCATTTTGCAAGAGCTCTGCCCCTTCAGCTCCTTGTCAGCTGCCCAAGTGGCGAGCCGAACAGCAGCTGCCGCTGCTCTTTGGGCTACTGCATGTGCAGTGGAAACGTCGCACTAATTGCTCAGGTATGAAGCCCGGGAAAAACAAGAGCAGAGGCACTCTCTGGCTTCTGCATATGTGCAACAATTGTGAGCGAAATAATAGAGCTATGAGAAACATCAAATATAAAGGCATGTTTTAGCAACAGTTTAAAATATTTTTTAAAAGTTTAGACCATTTACTAATGTATTTCTTTAAGCTGTATATGATAATAAGTTTCACAATCCAGCGAACTTATCTCAGCATTAAAGTTACAAGAAAATTTGAAAACGAGGGTAAAATAAATAAAGCTTAATATAAATTGAAGTTAAAACAGACAATAATTACATATCGTTCTTAAAAATAATCTAAATTTAGTTTATTTACGTTTGCAAAAATAGATTTTAATCGCTTAACATCTTTGTTTTCCCATTATAATAATGAAATTTTTATGGCAAAAATATATATTAATTTTCCCATTACCATTTTAGAAATACCATAACAATAATTAAACATAAACAGCACCTCAATTAACAAAAGTATAAATGGTTTTATATAATAGCTATTTCCCCTTAGTAATTCTCATCGAAAACATTTATTTCCTTAGTCTGTTGTGTGAACATTTGGTTTTCAAGAACTATTATTTTCTCCCCAGCTGTTGTTGGTTGTTAATTTTGAAATTTTGCAATTTTCATCCCCTCAAACTCCATGTGCCCGCCCCTCCCTCTCACCTGTGTGCCCCGGGGCCATTAATGTGTCCATATTAGAAATGCCATTACATCGCGCCATTTGTGGCGAATGCTAACCACCACTCGGAAAAGTGGCTCTTGGCTGAATTTTATATACGAGGGCAACCAAGCGTGAGGAGCAGCCAACCAGCCGTCGAGGGTAATTCCCATTCGTTGTAGGCCTTTTACCGCCGTACCAAGGGTAACCAAGGAACTAACGCACTTACTATATATCCAACCATCGATCGGATCGGCCATATTGCCGGGCAACATGTTGCAGTTGTACGTGACTGGCATGGGCGCAGCAGGCGCTTTTCGCAAAAGGAGGAGGCTTCTTTGAAGAGCACCACTCGCCGCTGTCCACTTACGCACTTACTGGGCAGTGGTCTCTTACTGGGAACTTGACTCCAGCCGGAGGACACATGTGCGTGGGCCTAGGTTGCTTAGATGAGCAGAGATACACATGCCCGTGGATTCTTTCCAGCAGGAAATACGAAATTCGTAATTACGGCCACACAGTGGGGGCATAAATAACGCGCAAGTTGTTGCCAGTTGCTGGCTAAGGCCAAAAGAGATACGGCCCGCATCCAAACATACACACACGAAAAAAGACACACGAAACCGAAAAACGAAAACTAAAGACCAAACGAAAAACCTGTTCCCACCTGCAACATTGCGTGCGAGTGTCTGCGTGCGTATCTGTGTGCGCTGTGCTGGGCTGCCTCGAAAACTAAACAAACAAGCCAACGAAAAACACAGCCAGCTATGAAAATGCCTCGAAAATGTACAAAAAGATACATACTGGCACTCGTTCTTGTACTCGCAGCAGATACAGATACAGCCACAGCCGCAGATATAACTGCATTGCGTCGGCTCTTATTTTTTTTGTCTTAAACGGCAAACGCATTATTTTTCAAGTGCGCTGATGAGCATTTGATCGCTGCAGCCAAAGACTGCCCCAGGGCCCCCTTTTATTTTCCGTTTCTGACTCGGTTTCTGTTTGGGTTTTTTGGGGCCAATCCACTCCACTCCACTTCACTTGCGGCTGGCATTCTCGCCGAGGCGGAGCTCTTGTTTATTTTCCCAACATTTTTCTCTCACTCGAAGCGCAAAACCGAAATGTAAACCAACCAAACACAACCAGTCCCAGTCCCAGTCCAGCCAACCAGATTCAGATACAGATAAATAGACGCGTCTGTCATCGTGTGCATGTAAACATTGGCGGCCAGGATGAATTCTTAGGCGAAGTCAAAGTCGAAGTCGAAGTCTCAGCTTTAGTTGCAGTCCAAGGCCCAGGTTCCGATTTCTTGGGCTGTTCCGACCCGATATGTTATATATTAATATAATATTTCTTAAAATTACCATTGAGCAGGGATGCCCAGTTTGAGGGCTTTGACTCACTTTAATTTTCTATGCAGCTATGACTCCTAAAATCTCATTTAACCATGTTGTGTTTTCTCAAATACACAGTTTATCCAGGATCTCATTTAAATAAGTCAAATATAGCTTCGCTATGGCTCCATTCTAGCTCTATATAGTCCCATACAGATTTTAATAAACCTTGTAAAAAGCAAAGAGTTCTTCGCTTCAGTTGTTTCAAGCTCCAGAAATACAAAATGTATTTACTCTGGCAAGTCGGCATGTTCCTCTCGCTCTTAGATAACACTCTTGGCCAGATTTGTTCGGCTTTTGTTTGCTCAACTTGGCCGCAAGTAAAGCAGCCACTTAAGGCCACGCGGTGAAGAGGCATGCAAAAAAATGGCTTGTTGCGTGCCTCCTCGAGTGGCAGCAAAGAAGAAGCGAAGCTGCGTCTGGAATCTGTAGGATTGATTGTCGATCGCTGCCGCATTTTTGCACGTTTGGCTAGCCAGGCGAAGAGAACCAAGACCAAAACCAAAACCAAGAGCAAAGGCACAAGACCAAGTCGAATGGCCAATATAAATGGGGTTCGAGTCAAAGTTGCCTGCTGATGGATTCCTATGCAGTCACAGCAACTCCAACTCTAACTCTGAGAGGAACTGCAAAGCGACGACAACCGCAGCCAGAACAAGAACGCAACGCGTCAGTCATTGAACTTTAAGCTATGCGTTCGACGACTGAACGAGCCCCATTCCCCACTGCCCACTCCCTGCTCCCCTCTCCATTGTTGATTGCCCCCACAACTGTGGAGCCACTCCAATGTGTGCCTGTCCCTCCTCTTCCACCTGGTGGAAGATCGAAGACGATCGGATTTGAAGCGCAGCGCCTTGTTTGATTCTCAATTTTTGATTCTTAACAGCCCCGTGAATGGGCGAATGACTCGAAATTAATGTGTCTGTCTGGGCTTTGTCTGTTGTGTGCCCTTAAGCGGTATTTATGTATATATATACGTTATGTATATGCAGCGCCGTGGGCTGTAAATCCGTATGGTGCTTCGATAGTGTCGCAGTGGTGCAGCGGATGCGATTCGTGCTGCCTTGATTAATAGCCTCGGGAAGCGGCACGGCGGTTGAAGGGCGTCGTTAAAAGCCTTTTTCCAACT